GAGGGACTCAGGCCAGCAGTCTTTGGGGGACTTGGGCTGGCAGTCTCCACGGGACTCGGGCCGGCAGTCTCCGAGGGACTGGAGCCAGCAGACTCCGAGGGACTCGGGCCAGCAGTCCATCCTGGTTCTGCCAGGGCAAAGCCCTGTGTACCAGAGGCCACCGGCAAGCCGCCATAACAACCAAGCCAGGATCCCGATGACGGGTCAACGTCCCACCTACTAGAGCTGTGTAGGAGCATTGGTAAAGTCACTCATGTTCAATTAAATATGATTTGAAAGTAACATCAACCTGCTAAATAACGTAATTGAAGGCTGGTAGGTGTCATTATTTATGAGACATAATTAAGGTGCCATTTTTTTCCCCCACTTGAAAGAAAAGACGTAAGGCGAGAACTGGGGGCCAGCAGAGGTAGTGAGTTTGTGTCTTATTAAATGCATCCATAAAAATCTTCTTTCTGCCTGACATTAAACAGCTTCACATGATAGCCTAAAGAGAAGACTAAACATATGATTCAGTTAAGTCATGTACATAAAACGTTCTTCTGTTCTGCATCTGCAGACTTTGCCAGCCCAAGTACCTGTACAGTAGTTGGTAACATGAAAAGGAATAAACTGATTTCCTCATACTGAATTCAACTGCAAGGTTTCGTACTTGAAATGTAAGTATTTTATTTATTTCTAGCTTGTTTTAGAATGACTGTATTCAAGCTAAACTACTGGCAGCTGCACTTCTAAGAACTCACATGCTCAATAGCACAGAGAAGCCATTTGGATTTGTAGGCTCCACATAGATACAGATAACTTTTCTCTTGCTTCTTGCATTGTTTGACAAGAAAATCTATGCTCTTTGATAGGGTAGGTTAATAAAAAAAGTAATTTTGTAACTTTGACAATGTGTGTCACTTTTGTGTTTGAAATGCCCAAGTAAATAAACCACAAGTAGAGCTGAGCAAAGAATAACCTGCAGGATTTCATCTTTCTGTTCACAAACAGGTCACAACTTTATGAGACTGACGCTGGATATGTGTGAGGGGTTTTGTGGATGCCTGGTTCTCCTGCAGCTCCAGGGTTTGTCCATGACATGCTGCAGTCAGGGAATCTCTCCCCAGCTTGACAAGTGGAGAGTCAGCAATGGTTCTGGGAGAATCAGAGCAGCAGGTCTGGGCAGGGATGAATTAAGGAGTGGCACAAGACAGAGGGAAAGGAGGGCTGGGAATTTGTGCTTTAAGGATGACAGGAAACCAGGCAATGTAGAGCAGTGCTGGGTGGAGATAGGGAGAAGATGGGCTTCCCTCCACACTCAGCAGCAGTGAGCATAAGGAGCTGGCAAGAAGCTGCTCTTAGCTGAAGGTACAGCTGGCCACAGAAGGGGTCAGTGATCCCTCTCCAAGGGACCTATTAAATTGTCCTTTCCACCCCTACCCTTCCTAGAGTGAAATCAAGGACCTCACAGCATGGAAGACACCTTGTGTTTACAGGCAAACACTGGCAATAAAATTTTGGGGTGCAGACAAACCAGCAAGTCTCTGACACCAAAACTCCCACCAAGAGAGATAATAAAAAGGTGGCAGTGCAATTGGATGCAAACTGGAATTCAAACACATGCTCCAACACGGATTTCCCATTCCTACCTAATCCCCTCCTATGGATATGAAACCAGTTCTAGGCCTATGCTGCCATACCCACTCCCATCAAGAGCATCAGGAATATTTCAACAGTGTTTAGCAAGCTTGTTCTCAGGTTCAACACAGGACAGGCTGAATTATGCTTTAACAGGTTAAAAAAAAACCTTAATAATCCACCCTTTTATGCAAATTGACAGTTATCAACGAAAAGTAGAAAAGGAAGAGCTGTGGAATACTCTGGCACATCCTCTTCATACCAATGAATTTAGACTCAGTGTGTTTTCTTTTGTGTCTAGTCTGCTGCAAGGGCTTGGCAGGAGCTGGAGCCAAGGCGGCCAGTGGGGAGCATTAGCTTGGACCTTCCCACAGAGCTCTTGGCTTGTGCAGGGAAATGTCTCTTCCCTCTGCTCCCCTCCTCCTCTGCAGACAGACAGCCAAATCCCAAACTTTGTTTCATCACTTTGAAAGTGAAGTAACACAAATGACTTCTACAGACAAACCCAAGAGATAAATGGATGAAAGCAGGCTGAGGATCTGATCCCTGTGCTGCATGTGGGCTTGCCAGTCAAACACAGCAGACTACAGAGCTCTTCCTTCTGGGGAGAAAAGTGTGTTTAACAGCACTGAAATAGTCACGGCCCTACAGCCTGGAACAGCCAGAAGCTCTCCAAGTTTCCCCAAACTGTCCCCCTCTGCAGCTTAGCACTGACTTGGAGGAACAAACTAATCTGTGCACTCACTGAGTCCCTGAGCTCTCCCAGGAGGCTTCTGGCAGACTGTGCTGGACACGGAGCAAGACAGAGGTTTCCATCACGGGTGCTTAAGCACTACCAACAGAAAACAACCATGACATAACCACCACTCAGTGCTAACACTTCACTGTTACTGATGAGCCACCATCCCAAATACACTAAAAAAGTTTACATAGGAGCAAAGCTACTGCAGGGTCCTGGCATCTGCTACTCACACAAATTTTATGCTACAGTTCAGTGTCAGTTCTGACTCCTCCAGCTTGTGTTTATGGTCAGTGTATGGCTGTGTCCCTTCTGCAGCCTGAAACCCAACGTACATTCCCACATATCAGAGAGCATCAGCTGGAGGAATGCAGCAAGGCTGGGACTCAGCTCCTCCCTTGGCCTTAGCCTTTGGACCACCAACCTTGAGGAACAGGCTGAAGAAGGAGACCTGGCTCCTCAACATCAGCAGGTTTGTGGCTAATGGCAAAGCATCTCCCATTAAGGTCACTTAGTTTCCAATCCAGAGATAAATCCAGTGACCTATCCCTCCTGTTTTTGAAGGAAACTATTGCTTCCCAGAAGCCATCAGGACACTAGCAGATAGGATAAACAAAAGGAGAGAGATTCTTGTCTGGCCTCAACCAGCAAATTATTGGGGGATTTTGCAAACAACTTTATAAAAAGGCTCAAGTACTTCTCTGATTAGTCACTTATACTTTTTATTTATTTGTAATGTATTCAGAAAACAGGAATAAAGAGGTTTCCTAGGAAGCAGGGGGAGTAGTAAGGTTGCGGAACATGAAACAGATGCATCTAACCGTGAGTCACCGGCATCCTAGGAAATATCACTCCCTCTACTAACATTTATTTGAAATCCATGATGAAATCATCCCTATCCAACACCAGAGCCCTTCTGGTGCCCAAATATTTTGCAGTTCTGCCAGTAATTTGGTCTCAGTGATGTTAAACTGAGCCATAGTGGACATTGGGTCTGTCAATACCTCTGTTGCTTTCCCTCTCTCCTCTGAGAGGAGGACAGCTGTTTTATTTTCCTAAGATCCCATTCCAATGGCCAGGGTAGCTGTACTCAACCCCATCAGTGGTACGGGGGATCGAATCACTGTGCACTGTGTCTGTGTTCCAGAGTCAACCCTGACATGCTATTCCACAGCTCATCAGTGAATGCCCTATTTTTGTTCTGTCTGTTCTGCAAAAATAATCAGATTTTCATTACTTACTGAGTTAAATCCCTGCAGAGCCAGGTGAAAGCAAAGTTTCCAAAGAGACATTTTGGCTAACAGCTGCCTGGGGAACACCAGTTCCATTTAAAACTTCTCTACCATGCCAAAAATAGCATGCCGAAGACTTTCTCCATAAAAAAATAAATTAATCTTACCTTCTTTGTCTCCATAAAATAACTTGGGTAAAGTTGTGTATATTCAGAGCTAGGACATTAGCTATTAAACAACTCAGAATGGCCTTATCTTTTATAACCTCTCACACAGAAAGCAAAAGAAGCCTTATAGCAAACTCTGCACAGATCAAAAGATTAAATTACAAGTACATGGGATCCTGGCTGAAATATGGTTTAGACATTATTCACTATTAAACAACTAACTGAAGGCATTCTGTACCAGATTTTCACCATCTTCTGTCCAGCTGTCCTTGGTTTTCACCCAAAAGGGATGCAGCGAGCTCCATCTACAGGGATTCTGGGCACATGCCACCTCAAACTTCCCAAAACACAGGCAAACTCTTCCTGTTGCTTTATGCTTTAGTGAGAGCCAGATTAGCGTCTGCCAGCAATAGGTCTCACACCGGACGTGACCTAAAACTGAGGATGAGAGATACACAAAGGAGTTAAAAGAATTTTCCTCATGGCACTGCTAGGAAGCAGCTATTGATTTAACACTTTGGTTATCTAAAAGACTTTAACCTGGACTATTCTGTCTGAACTTTTGTCACTGTATTCTTTCTGTGGGAGTCATGCCTCGCTGTTCATTTTGTTCAGGTTATAATGAACAAGAACTAATTTTCCAGTGCCTGAGGACCTGAAACATCTGAAAAGTTGGATCCTGAAACACTGAAATTGTTGAGTCCCAGTTAAGTAACACTTAAGTCCAAAACTCTTAATCATTAGTGCTTAAAATTATCTCTAAATTGTGGTGGTGGGGTTTTGCCATACACTGAGGTAGCAAGCCCCAGAAAACTCTCCAAACCACCCACTATCCCCACAAACCCACAGAAAACTCACTGACCCACCCACCCTTCTAGTGGCATAAAGCAATTACTAACATTTCCAGACTGATCTGAACAGAATAAAAACAAAGTGACTCCACAACTTGCACTTGCAAAAGGTAGCAGGGAGCAAAACACAAAAATACATAATTTTCTTGGAAGCAAACTTGCCAGATTTAGAATTTCTGCAGCACAAACTGCAGAGTCTGCGGTCAGGAACAACAGGAATTCTCTACAGGAGCCTGACTTCCACCTTGCTGTTGTTTCCAGTTTTTGACTCTGATTCATAGGCTTGGATTTCTTGGAGGACCATGTGTTTTGGAAAACCTGTCAGAGGCAATTAATTGATGATCTAATGGCAGTAGAAGAAAAATACTGCAGCAGCTGCTTTAACAGATGCTTCTTCAGAAACATTTTAATCCTTGTGATATGACATTTTTCTAGATTTTTTGCTTTTACTTCAGTAGAACTCAGAAAAAGGAGGAAAAAATTAGCAAATACTAGAAGAGCTCCTAAGATACAGCCAGTCTTTGCTCTGCTGCTATGCTCAGTGCTATATTACCTCTTCTAAGACAAGAAAGTGTAAGAATCAAAAGTTTTGGGGTTCTTGACATGAAATATTTCTTGTATATGCCATTAAGCAAAGACAGATTGAGGAAAATCTTGGATTAGATTAACTCCACATCAGGTGAAAACCTCTCCCACCAGAAAGTGAAATAGCAGAACAAAAACTTTCTGGATGGAGGGCACAAAAATTTTAAATGAGATGTATCTGAGGACATGAAAACAGAAAGGAGAGGGAAGAAAATTGTGAGGGACAGGGAAAGGTTCTCTTATGTTCCCAGCTAAGTTATTCACCTCAATGCAGGGATACAAAGTGAATTTTAGGATTCACAAGAATATCAAACTACAGTCTAAGTCCCAGTGAGCATTAAAAAAGCTCACTGGATTTTAGTATTTCCAGATTAAAGTAATTGTCCAAAACTTACACCTGAAGAAAATTATACCAAAGTCCTCAAAAAAACCCCCTGAAAATATTGTATAAAAATAAATTTATTTCTCAACAGTGGAAACAGGGATTTATTCAATATCTACAGCACTCATGGAGATTCTCTTCCTTAATGGGGAAAGAGAACAAGTATCTTCAGGAACCCACCATGAAAACATGTAGATGACAATAAGATCAAACACTATGGGAAGAAATCCCCTTATTAAGTTGACTGTTATAGTTGGGCTTTGAAATATTTTATATTAACTTACAGACATTAAAGAAATACATTTATTGCTTTATATCCTGTGCCAATATTCCCCTCTCTTTCAGAGTCTTTTTTGCCATGCTAAGTTTGAGTGTTTGAAATCTGCATTCCTGATGAACTGTTCTTGGATTCTGCTGGAACCAAGAGTGCATATATCCATTGTAGAAGTCAACTGCTGTAAGCTTCTTCTTTAAAACAACTGTTTTGATTCCAACCCAGCCTTCCTAAAAACAAAAACAAACAAAAAAAGCAGTAAGCTTCTTGTTTAAAGCTATCTTTAGCTCCCATAGGCTGGCTCACAGAATACATTTTATTCAATGTTAACAGGCTAACAAGTCCAATTCTTGCTTGCAAATGTGCAAAGCCTGTTAATGGAAATTAAAAGTTTAAGGTGTCAAATAAAACATCTGGTGCTGATCTAAACTAGCACAGAGACTAACAATGGATAATTAAGACAAAAGTTATGCACCACACAAATACTAAAAATCTCATCTTTAGGGCAGTGAATATAAAACAAATGGGGAAAGCCTACCTTGCAGCGAGCTATCAATGTTTGGGACATTTTATGGAACAACACTGAACCAGGAACAACTTCACAGTCATTTTGTATTTGATCTAAAAGCAAAGAAAGATCATCCTGCATTTTTATGCCAAAAAGTACAGAAAATTTTTGAACCACTTCTGTTCCTTTGAAGCTTGATAACCATCTTGAGTCACTATTTTGCTGAAAAATATTTTATTGTATTCTGTGTTTTATTATAACCAAATGATCAGAAACAATCAGAACAGTCATTCTCTGGCACTACTCCATATCTGATCCATGAACACTCACTAAGCCCTGATCATTCACACACCTTGGCCCACATGGCACTCAGATTCTTAAAGAAAATGGTTTAAAAATTTTAATAATTTAAGAGTAAATACCAGAAAAACCAGGGATATTATCCACTTCCACAAAATCCAGAAGTTTAATGGTAGTACCCTTCCAGAGTGTCTGCAAAGGAAACTGGAAGAAGAAACAAATGACACATTCAGAATGTTTTCACATTTCCAGGCTATTTTTTCCTCAGGCAAAATACCTGTGATAATAACATTAAGGGAAAATTTAGCTTTATGTTTAGATAGGAGATTTTCCTTATCAGACTCAGTTTTCCTTACCCTACCTCAACTCAAACCATTATCCTATGCAGAAATGAGTTAAGCAATTAGCTACAACAGCTCTTCACTGGCTGTCTGCTGTTTACTGCCATGCAGAGCTCTCACTGCAGCATTCCAAACCTCCTCAAATACATCAGAAAAAATCTCAGAGCTAAGGAAACAATGTAAAATTTTTGAGCTGATTTCACACTTGGGATCGAGCCCATGAAAATTCTCCTGCACATTAATTTCACCTCTAGTGACAAACTACCAGGACTTTCAAAAACAAGCTAAAATAACTAAAATTGAGGTATAGTGATTAGTTAAAATATCTACATTAAACTCAGCCATGCTACAGGACAGAAAAGGGTTGCAAAAAATCCAGTCTCACCATACTCCCTATTGCACGATGCAGCTGAATTATCTGTGCAGCTGTTTGCTCTTCCCATTTTATACAACTCTTCGCTATAGAGATTTTAGGAGCTGTGGGGAAAAGAGAAATTAGCGGACTTCTTAATTTGCTTTGCATCTTTTAGCAAACAGCTGTACTACTTTATCCTGTTTTAAACCTCATTTTTTCCTGACCAATAGTGGGTCTACCATCCAGCCAAGGCAGCTCAGGCAAAAACTGGAGAAAATATTTTGTAAACACCTCAATTTGGATTATTTTTTATTCCCAGTTGTTCTCTTTATTTACCCATTGCACCGCAAACTTACATCATGCTTATAAGTACAGTTCTAACCCTTCTGTCTGCATTACAGCAATGAAAAATAACAAACTCAGATCTTGTGACATCAATAGTGATTTTGACATTGTACAAGTAACTGGAAAAGAAGTCTGAAGAACTCTGAAGCATTTTTCTCCTGTATGACATTTTTAAGCCAGTGAAGGCCGTGAAGAGAGCATATTGAGAAATTCATCTAAAAAAATATAACCCAGTATGGCAGAAAACTTCAATTTTCCTGCTGATCAAAGAAGAAATGAACAAGTCACATGAAAAACAATGTGTACCTACCAAATGTTACTCCTTCTTTTGGCTGCTCTTTTTTATTTTTTAAACTTTCAGGCAAGTTCTTCAAAACTGCTAACAGCTGCAAAATTAAATTTTGTACAGAGTATTAGTCAAGCTAAGTTTAATCAATAATAAACAAAGTAAAACTTAATTTTTCAAGAGTGAAACTGTCCTGTGAGCTTCTAGAAAATTGGCTCAGTATATTCAGAAAATGTGTATCCTTGACACAGAGAGAGTAACGACATTCTTCCCACTGAATCACAATGAAAAAACGCAATTATTTTTTTATGGATGATCTCTTCTCTGATATTAATTCCAGAAGAGAACAAAAGCTGATTATTCAAATAAAAAAGCAGATATTAATTTAAAGAACCTGCACTGTTTCCACAGACAGCATTTGGGTTCTTCACTGAACAGAAACACAACAGCAACACAGAGGACTGACACTGACGCCTGACCACAGACCACTGAGCTCTCCTCTCAGCAAAGTCATCACAAACATCAAGTTTCACATCATCCTCCTCCTAAAGCTGAAGCCAGCTCAGAACAAGATTAGCAAGAATTCTGTTTGCACACATTAAAAGCAAAAGTACCAGTCAGAAGTGACACAGCAGGCAGGACTTTACCATGTCAGCCCCCATCTTTGCCAACATCCCTTCCAGCTCCTGTGCCGTGCAGCGGGGAGGAACAGCAACCTCTTCTTGCTTAATAATTGGACCTACATCAAACCTGCAAGGCAGAAAACACACAACCTTACTGGAGAAGCTGAAGCTTAATTAGCAGCTCAAAACTCTGCATTCAATACATTAGCTCAGTTACTAATTATCCTTTTTTATCCCCTCTAAAACTATTTTCAGATGTCATTTCACATCATCAAATGTTTGGTTCACAAGACAACACAAGGAAGAGAATACCAATCTTGGCAGCAAGATTAGACTGATATGAACACACAATTTACAGTTCAGAACATGAGATCTAAGAAGAAACAACATGAAATACTTAAGATGAAATTTGCTTCACACTTTCCTGGGATCTATTATTAGACAAGCATCTCAGAAAGAAAAGGTAACCAAATAATGTATTTTCACAAGCCTTTTAAGCTAGAGCTCGGGCTGAAAATAAAACATATAATCTTCCTCATGCCTAGACAAGTAATTTCTTGTCTTCTGTCCACTTACAGGATGTTACAGGGGACTCTGAAGTCTGAAAACCGTTCTGTCCTGTCATACCAAGCCTATTGATAAAGCTGTGTGACTGTTCTCTGTCTGTTTCTTGTGACAGTGCTAAAAATTAGAGAACAGGCCTGAAGTGCAAATTGCACACTTATTAAAATACTGTAATTGTGGCAAATGTCATATAGCTAGATGAACATTTTTAAGTGTTTCAAACCTTAATTACATACGTGAAAAAAATTGTGGTTATGTAGAATGAGTCAAATAATGACTTCAGCAGTGATTATTTAAAGCCCTGAGAGGCAACAGCAACAGTGAGTTGTCTGCAAAGGACACCAAACCCACCTTTTTGGTCTTATTTCCATAATTGTCACCCCAGTCACCTTATCACCATGAAGCACTGTGTGGACTATGGGTGCAGGACCACGCCATCGTGGGAGACAGCTGGGATGGACATTCAGCACCCCACTGGAATGAAATATTCACAGGTTAGAACAGGAATGGTACCTGAAACATACGTAAATGGAGTGCAACATATATTACAGTGAACTACTATCTGCTCATATGTTCTCATGTGTTACTGGCTTAAATACGCACCTGAAGGAAAATTCACACTATATAAACAGTTTATCAGCGAACACAGAAAGAGATGTGAGGAATAAAGGCAAATGTTCTGCTGAATATTTGCATAAATTTACACCCATGTGTCAAAGAACACTGAATTTCACCATGACAGCAATAAGGCTCAGGCTAAGCATATGAACCCAGGGAAGCTGACCTCACCTACTGCAAGTCACAGATGCTGCCTCAAAAGGAGAGTGCAGCTTTGCTAACAAAGCAGTGACAGATGTCTTGTCCACACACTTACTATGGGAACTGCAGAATGAGCTCCTCGCTTAGAAGACGTCCAAAAGATGCCACCACACCCACATCAAACTGCCCCGCGGGTCCCGTGTGCGGCCACTCGTGCACAGGCAGCTGGAGCTCCCTGGCACAGCTCCTGACGGGCAGGTCCCGGGCCAGGCGGGAGGGCAGGGTCACCACCTCCAGCCGGGACACGAGCGACTCCTCGCTGGGCTCCCTGGGGTGGACAAGGTGTTGAAGGCGTCGCGCAGGCAGACTGAGGCGAGGGCTGGGTCACCTCCACCCCTCGCTGTGCCCCTGTGCCAATTCCCTCACTCCATTATTCCGGTCCCTGTACCCACGCTCAGGTTCCTTCCCCGTCCCTTCTCTGCCATCCTCCCTGCCCAACCCATGGTCCCTCCCGCGCGACTCCACCTCATCCCTCAATAACCTCTGAGCCTCATCACCAGCCGTCATCTCCCATCCCTCGATGCCCACCCCTCTCTCACCCTCCCCAGCCCCGGCCGTGACCCCTCAGGCTCCGCGCCCCTCAGGGTCCATCTCCCCCCTCAGGCTCCTCCCTCACGTCCCCGTTTCCCGTGTCCCCTCTGCCCCTCTCTGCCAGCCCTGTCTCCCCTCAGAGCCCTCTTCCCCGTGCCCGGGCGGTACCCGGCGGCCCGCAGGGCTCGCAGGGTGGTCACGGCGAAGCGGTCGGTGCCGAAGAACAGGACCCGCCATGGCGGCCCCGCCGCCCTCACGCCCTCGCGGCAGGCGCGCAGCAGCCGGGCCCGCATCGCGGGGCTCCCGCCGCGCGCGCCGATGACGCAGCGGGACCCGCCCCGCGGCCGGGCCGCCCTCAGCGCTGAGGCGGCGCCGCCGTAGTCATAAAATCACAGAATTATCAGCGAACCTGAGTTGGAAGGGACCCAAAGGGATCATCGAATCCAACCTATAGCCCTGGTCAAGACACCCCAATAATCCCATCCGGTGCCTCATAGCGTTGTCCGAACGCTTCTTGAACTCTGGCAGCCTTGGGGTCGTGACCATTCCTTGGGGAGCCCCTTCCAGTGCCCGACCAACCTCTGAAAACCTTTTCCTGACATCCAGCCTAATTCTCCCCTGACTCATCTTTATGTCGTTCCCTCGGGTCTCATGTCGCTGGTCATGAGAGTGAAGAGAGCAGTGTCTGCCCCTCGGGGGGATGTTGCAGACCACAATGAGGTCTCTCAGTCTCTTCCAAGCTGGAGAAAACAAGTGTCCTCATGCACTCCTCATACAGCTTCCCTTCCACACCCTTCCCCATCCTCCTGGCTCCTTTGGACGCTCTCTAAGAGCAAAGTGCCTTCACATTAGCCTGGAGAAGACTGACAGGGGATCTCGTTAATGCATAAAAATATCCTAGGGTGCTAAGATGCTAGTGCAAGGGTCTTTTGGGTGGTGCTCAGCAGCAGGATGAGGAGCAATAAATTATATTGTCCATTAATTAAAACACGAGAAGTTCCATCTCAACATGAGGAAGATCTTTATGTTGAGGGTGACAGAGCACTGGGACAGCTGCCCAGAGAGGGTGTGGAGTTCCAAACCCTGGACACGTCCAGCTGTGTCCATGCTCCGCATGACCCTCCCTTGGAAGGAGGTTGGACTGGGTGATCTCCAGAGATCCCTTCCAACCCTAACAATTCCCTGATCTTGGTGTGGGGTGGTGGAAGCCGTCAGGGCTGCCCTGACAGCTCCAGCTGCAGTGTCGATGATCCTGAGTGGTGTCACCCATGGGCCCTTAACCCTGACCAGGAATTGTCCATGCTGCCTCAGTGCAAAGATAATGCAGAAAAACGTCAGGGACTGGAAGGGGTGTTGACCCCAAAGCCACTGATCTGGCTCTGACAGCATTTGAAAAACAGAGTTCAGTTTCTGACTCCACGGACAGCTTCATTTTAACAGTGACAGTAACTCAGAGAATGTTTTCTTGTAAACTATGGGGTCAGAATCACCACTTAAAGAACTGTCTCCTCCCATAACGTTAGTATGAAAATATTTTATCATTCTGCTAAGTACATTCTTTCCCCCCATGGGAAGATGGATTATTTGTGTAGCTTTTCATGTAAATCACATACACAAATTCCCTGCTCATCTAAATCACAGTCTGTCCTACAATCTTTGACACTAGGAATTTCTGCAGCATGAAGTGTGAGAATCTGTAAATGTCCTATATGCCTGGGGAAATATGTAAATTATTTGGAAAATTGATGGCAGAATTTTATGTCGGATACATGAGGGAAGGATCCATTAAAAAAGTGAAATTTTGTACTGCACTAAGCAGTGTTGTATGTGTTCCTTCCCTTTTTCATGTCTGTTTGCCCATCATTAGGGTTTTCTTCTCTCAGACATTGAAGATGCCATTGTCTCCTGTGGTAATAAGAAGAAAAGAATGAAAAATTGCTGTTACAAGTTAAATAAAAGAGTCAGGCCATCCTAACTGGGGTGCTTACATTCCTGTACCCTGAGAAAAGGAGAATATGCTACCAAATACTGAGGTAATTTCCTAATCAGTATGGAAAAATCAAATGCTCAAAAAACCTTACAATTCTCTGTTAACTGGGAAGTTCCATGAAAATACTTAGTTTAGTCAAAGGCAGTACACGTCAACTCTAGTCACCTCATCTTAGTGCATAAACGAAAGGTTATAGTTAAAATAAAATATAAACAAGAGGCCAGCGAGGATGAAGGAATGGCTTGTGCTTGAGAAGAGATTAAAGCTCCCAGCTTGGTTCATGTTGGAAAGTGGCTTGGAAAGAAGGGAAGGTGAACAGTCTGACTTATCACAAACAGGGAACAATTCGTCATTGCACAATAACTAAGTGATTACAGACACTCATGGCTGTCAGGCCCCAAACATGAGGAGTGCTGTTCAGCACAGAGTGTAATTTCAGGCCTTATCTCAGATGGTGAAAAATTTGACCTTGTGATATCTCAGATGCTGAAAAATACTCATGGTTTCCAGAGGCAGCGAGGGAGATTGCTGGAAGAAAGGCTGGAAGGAGATGTCCTGTGTGGTGATCACAAATACCAGTTTTCTGAGGTCTTGGGTGAAGCCCTGGATTTGTCACCAGCACTTCAGAAAGGCCAGGGATGTACGTGTATGCCTGGATTGCCCAAAAGATGTGAGTTTGAACCCAGAATCCAACTGCTGCTCAGTGTTAATTTCCAGGTATCAGATCCAGGCACTGAATATGTCATTGACACTGTGTGTAGAGTTTCACCTGCTGTTCCTCCAGGACTTAAGCCCAGAGATGGATTCTCACTTCTGGCTGTAGTTAACGCTCCTGGAAATGCTGTAACTCCACGCTGAGCTTTTGCCAAACATATGCACAAAGTGATTAAAGTTTCATTTGCAGTCAGTTTTTGAAGTGGACTTAAATTCCTTCCAGTACACTTGCTCCCACGTAATTCATCCTTGGCTCTGCTGTGACAGCACATTTCAAACACATCATGGCTGTTATTCATTATTATGCCTTCGACGCAATGTTCGTGAATTTTAACTGAAGATTTATTTTGATATAAATTTTTTCAGAATGACAGCAACTATCTGATTGTTTCACAAAAAAAAAAAAAAAAAATCTGGCATTCCTGCTGTATTTGAACTCTCTGCTTTTGTACATGGAAAGAAAAAAAATCTCCAACCCTGAATGTTTAGTTATTCTGTAACCAGGCATTTCAGGTCAAAGACACTGAAGGGATCAAAAAAGATAAGCAAAATTAAAACACCAAGGTCAGACAAATTCTTCCCAAGAGTAGTGAAGACAAATCTGAGGAGGAAACAGAACACAAATCAGATAAATCAGATCTTATCTCCACTTTGCTTCCTGGCCAAAGATGCTGAAAGTGTCTCCAAGAAGTAAAAAGATATCTCACAATGACCAGTGCCAGTGTTGTCAGGAGACACAGAATCAAGCACACCCTCACTGGAGAGGAGCACTCCTGAGCATGCTTGTGGTTCTCTGGAAAAGGAGAGGATTACTGGGCACAAGAGCCAACTCTAACCAGTGGGGAACTGGTTTCATTTCCATGTACATCATGCTGAGTCCTAAACATATCTCAGCCACCTACCTGCATCCTGACCCTAGATCCTGACCCTAGATATATACGTGAAGCCATGTAGAAAATTGGGATGAAAAGGAACCTTCTGGGGTTTTGCAGTCACCATCCTTATGTTAGTCACCTCTTCACCATGGCCAGTGTCTCTATCCCTCTACTCAGAGATTGTTCTGTGGGGGCCAAGTGTCTTCTTTGAGCTTTCCCAAGGCCAGAAGTTTGATTGTGAGACCACTTATGTCCTATTGCTGTGCACCCTGGCAAGAAAAAGCTCCAAAGATGCTAGAAAAGTGTTCCCCACACTGGTGGCACTTCTAGAAAGATCCAGCTGGAATTGAGAAGGAAAGACAGCACGATTTACCATGTGGTAGGATGTCCTGCATGGACATGCTTCCAGCAGCAGGGAGCAGCTCTTGTTTCCTGGGGGATGCATTTCTGAGCTCCCATCTCATTGCTGCCAGGCTGAGGCTGAGCAGTGAAACATCTCTGTTTGGGGAGCACACGTCTGCTGGGTGTATTTCACAGGTGCTGCCCAGGGAAACTCTGGATGTGAGATGGGATTCAAAGGATTAATCACAATTAACAATTAACATTGAACAAAGCTTCAGTGCCAGAGATCATAAAATCATAGAATGGCCTGGGTTGGAAGGGACCATAAAGATCATCTCATTCCTATACCCTTGCCGTGGGCAGGGACAACTACCACCAGACCAGATTGCTCCAAGCCCTGTCACACATGGCCTTGAGCACTTTATTTGAAGCTGAAAACCACCGAGAACAGGACAAACACGTGGATACTACACCTGCCATCTGCAGTTCAGCTGGAGCTAACCAGAGCTAGCTGTGTGTCCCAAGCCCATTGGTGAGATGCATCTCTCTTGCTTTGCAGTGTGCAGCTCCATCCATGAATCAGCTCCCCATTTCAGGGGGGAGGAATCCTCCTTTCCCAACGTGGCTGTCACAAAAAGCAGCACATCAGTCTGCAGAGCCTCTTAGCAGACTATTGACTTAGCCAGGCATTACCAGTACCTGTAAAAGTGGGATGGCAAAATCTCTGACTGCTGCTTCAAGCTTTGCATGCAAAGTTTTTTCCTCTGGTAAGATGCTCTGACAGCCTTAGAATGGCCATTCACTGGAAAAAAAAAAAAAAAGAAAAAAAAGGATAATATCTGCTTTATCAGGACATGCTTCCTGTATGCAATGAGGACTGAGCCAAGCAGAGTGAACATTATAATTTATTTTCACTGAAGAGTAACTTATTACTGAGTGTCATTCTACTCAGCGTGCTCTTCTAATACTGATTATGCCAATAACCTGAGCAAACAAACTGGAAGTTGCTACAGCTCATGCTTTGGCAAAAGGTCATTCACCTCGTGCTGTAAATGGTCCCACTAAAGAGGTGTGTTTTTCAGGGGCTGGAGTGTACCTCACCTGCTGAACTGGCCTTCACACATGACTCAGGAGCAGAGTGAATCACAGCTGGTAGCATACCCAGAGCAGCAGCACAGGGAGCCTGGTATTACCACGGTGCTGGAGGAGATGTCTTCGGATGACAGGGCTTAAAGAAGAAATGTAGCTTCCTCCCTGCTGGGAACTCCACGTTTCTGGTGAGTTAGCAGAGATTAACGGGCATTCCTGCTACACTGGCTGCTGGGTTAATTTATAGCTATCTGTAAAAAAAGGATTATTTATTTATTCCAGTTAGAAAGCTTGAATCCTTGGAAATTTTAAGTGAAGGCAGACTTTTCAAGGAGAGACTGTCTGAATGGCGAGTAAGAAGCAGGCTGAGGTAACTCCTGATTATTAAAGCAGTCAAAGAAAAATAACTTAGATATATATAATATAACTTAGATTTTTTTTCTTTAGCTTTTTAAAGGTTTTAGAGGTTAAAAAATAGCCCAGACTGCCTTCTTGCCTTAATATTTTAAATATTAAACAATTCCTTGTGTTCCTTAATGGGGCTCAGACCTTAATGTGCCTTTATAAACCTTACCATCCATTTGTATGTCTGTGGTGTGACATTGTATATATATCCTCTATGAATCCCAAAGACAGGACATCCCACTTTAATACTGTGTTTGAAATAACTGACCCATTTTAACACAATCTGCTAAGATAGGACAACCACCAGAGAGAGAGTCTGGATGACAAGAGGAGACTAATTTAAAAAGACTGAGATGTTCTAAATGCATTGTCCCATACTGTGTAGTGAGCTTTGAATACGGAGCCCAGAGGGACGTTATCATCTCAACAGAAGCTGTACTTGATGGTCTTTCCAAAAGATTTCCCCCCATCTTTACTTAAACCAGTATAATACATATCTAAAGACTTCTCATTTGCAGAATGAAGGTAAAATGTGTTTTGGTGAGCAGCCATGAATATCAGAGCTGACAAAAACCAAGCACAGGGTGGATTCACAGCACCACGTGCTGTGCCCTGGCTGGGAAGAGTCCACGTGCAGCTGTGAAGGTGTGTGTTCCTGTGTTCCCACATGGCACAGCCCCCTTGCTGGATTATGCCAGCATTCAGAGCACCAATCCCTCAGCTCTGCCTTCTGCATGTGACATGTCTCAGATCTTCAAGGGCTTTCCATTATGAGAAATGGTTTTACCATTTAAGTGCTGGGATCAATGCATAGAGCAAAAAGCAGTCCCTTGACATTTTCCTGTAGTATCTTGAGATTTCATTGAATGCCAGCAAAGTCCACAGATCCACAGGAGGATTTGAAATAGCGTTGTTGTGTGACTCTTTGTTCCTGAAATACATAATACTGTACAGATTTTGCAGCTTTTGATGTTAAAATCCCATTTGTAAGAAGAAAAAAGACGTTCAGGAGTCAATATAAACTCAAAATAACACGGTAAAATGTTTCCTGAGAGGCACTGGCCTCTTTGTTCTTTCTGCCTCCTTCCATAGGAGCATAAAATGGATGAGCTCTCTCTCATTTGAGTTTCCCCTGTTGTAAAGTTGGGGAAGCAACCTCAGAAGGGTCTTGGGTGCCTTCAGAGGGACAGGAAAACAAAGAGCACACTTGGAGTTGCAGAGGCGTGGATCTAAGGGCTCGTCCCTGTCCATCAGCCACCAGAGTCACTGCTGGATGTGCACAGGGAGCCATGGAAGAACATCCCCCACCTGTCCCAGCTGGTCTCGTGGAGCAGTGCTCGCCCACGGTGGGATGTGGGCAGCAGGGCAGAGCAGCTGTGTGGGGGAGGCTGCAGGAGATGCCTTGAACAATCTCTTCCAGCTGGAAGATCCAAGCTCCTCAGAGCATGTCCAGCCCAACTGTGGGAGTCACTGTTTTCTTACTGGGGAAACTGGTGGTTTAGGCAGAATTCTGCCCAGTCTCTGCTGGAGTAGACACACTCACCTGAGAACACTTTGTTTTGTAGCTTTGGTGAATGAAACTAATTTTGTTAATGTGATTTAGATGTAAAAGATCTCTAAAATAACAGAAGTTTCCCTTAAGGACATTTTACTTAAATGTCCTATTAATGCACAATAAGGGTCCATTCTGTTGCTGTGTTTTACCCACAAAGTTCTGGCCTCCCATATCTGGGGAGATTTGGCTGCTGGTCACTACTTGATGAAGTAGCAAAGTACTTCCAGCAGCTTTCCAGCATCCCTGCTGTGCACAGACACCAGGAGGTAGCCCACAGCTTATGAAACACCTTGGGGGAAAATCAGCAACATGCTTGTCAAATATCCCTCTTTGAGCAAATGATTACTCAGAAGCCTTGCACAGCAAGATTTAACACATTCAAGTGCCACTTCTTATTAGGGTGTAGCTGACTTGTAACTTATTTTCATTGTCACCAAGGCCTTATTTCCTCCTTTGTGAGGGGTGATCCATGTGAATAAGCTAAAGGTTACCTGGATGGAAGGGTAATTGGCACGCCTAACTGCAGGGAGCAGCTTTACCCATATTTTCTGAAATACAAAGGGGACCACATACTTGAGAGTCCCCTCCTCTAAGAATTGCTAGCAGGTGGTTTTCTGGCAGCAGGGAGTAAGCCTGCATGCCTGGTTAGCTATAAAATGTGAACTTTGAATTGTGAAGACATTGAGAATGGGGGGGAAAATAGTAGCAATCATTAGGTCTATAACCGACGGGACAAATGTTTCCCTGAGGAGTCAGCAGCAGCGTTGTTGACACGCCTGGCACAGTGGAACATGCTTGGGAAGCAAGTTTCAGACAGCACCAGGCCACACAGCAAAGGCAGGTAAAAGCTGGGAATATCAGACTGTCATAAAAGTCTTCATATAATAATTAATGGCCTGTGGGGCCAGAATGTCTGGGGGATGCCTGTGTGTTGTGGTGTGGCTGACCTGCCAGTGGGCGATGGCCAGTGAGCCATGGGCTGGGGAGAGCCACCTCAACATGTCACCAACTCACAGTGGGCAGCCAGGAACCCCTGCTCAGGGCAGGGCCCTTTGAAGGACGCTGAAGAACTAATTTGAAGGAGCAGCCATAAAAGTTGGATGGATGCCACTTATAAATGAGGGACTAAAGGTCAAGGAGGACTTTCTGTTTCCTTGAGGGATGGGAGACACGGTAGCCTCAATGGCAAGCCAGCCTTGCCTCCTCTTGGAGCTCAGCCTTCCACTTCCTCATCTCCACGCCCATATTCTGCCATCCATGGGTTGGCAATAGGTAGTCACATGCAAAGTATATGTTCTCTAGGGATTATGGCAGGGGAGCAAGCAGGGAGGCTTTGTTAGCTGGGGAGGGGCTGGCTCACAGCAGCTGAGCTCACATCTGTACAGGCTCACCTCGGGCAGCAGATGCAGTGCCAGACCCCTCTGCTGTCACCTTGGTGGCCCAGGGATTTCTGCACCCTGTCCTGGCAGGTCAGACTCATGTTCTCAGGAGGAAACAGATGCTGGGATACATGAGATCCCCTCTCTGCATAGAGCTGGAGTAGGGAGGGGAATCAGGTTCTCTGTCAACTCCTTAGTCTCTCTGTCTTTTGCAGGCATCTCCACGCTGAAGAAATACTGTGAAGGTGTGATCCATCACATCTGCATACACAAATATGAAGTTCTTCTGGATAATTCCATTTTTCCTGCTGCAAGGTAGAGTCTTGGCTCAAAGGATAATGGTGTGGGTAAAGTAGGTGCATGTGCACATGTGCAAAGACCTTAACTTCCTGGAAATATAGTTTCTTTCTTTCTTTCTATGGGGCTATTTTCCTCAGTGTACACCAGCAGCAGCCTGACTGAGCCAAGGAAAAACTCTCACCCCTGTTCCAGAACTGGGTGTCATTCCCATCTGCATTCTGTGTGCATGTTCTGTTCTTGGGGTTGGCCACACTTATATGTTGGTTTCTCTGCAGAAAGAAGCTTTTCTGATAAAAATTACTAGAGTCAAGCTGTGTATACAAGCCAGCCTGATAAGTAAGAATTTCTTGCTGGAGGACTGCAGTCCAGAGTCGGATTTCCAGGACTGGTCTGGGCAAGGCAACTCTTTGGTGAATTGTGGCACATGGAGCTGCCTCTCTGTGGTGGGAGATGGGGGATGTGGAAAGGCCTTACCAGCATTCTGAAATCTTTGCAGCCCTGCTGCCTCACCATAATGGGGTCTGCAGCCAAAAACACTCTCCACTTCTCAGTGCATGAGTTCAGGCTGTGCACTCAGGGCTGTGTTCTGCCTGCTTGGAGAGACATGCTGGGCAACCCTGGGAGTGAAGGGGAACGTCACCTCCAGTCTGAAGGGCTGCAGTGAGTGACTATTGCATCTTTGTCTTTCCACCACAGCTGAGGCAGAGCACAAGTACCTCCCAACCACCCTGGCCAGCACACACATGGATGAGCACACAGCAGGCAACATTACCCTTCCACTGGGCTTGGAACTGGAAGAGCTGGAGGAGCTGCTCTGGTTCTTCCGCAGAGAAGACCGTAAGTCCCCATTGGTGTTCCTGGGCTGAGACACAGTCCTTGGCTGTCAACTTTCTTGCCTAACAGAGATGCCTGAGGAGGTGATTTACCCCAGACACACAAACCCTCAGTCTTGCCTCTGGAGTAAGCAGGCCATAGGTGAAGATAGGCAGGAGGCTTTGCTGAGATTGTGTCTTTGGGGTTCAGCCTCTTTCCAGGCAGAGCCTGCCAAGAGAGCAAAGGTCTCCTGTGATTTTGGCAGGGTGGAGGGAGCAGATTGACATAGCAGCAGGTCAGCGTCATGAGGATCAACTTCAAAGCCACAAAAATCAAGGACAGAGCATCTTGGATGTCCTCAGAAAACCCCTGGCCAGGCCCTATGGGTCACACTGTGCTGTGCCTGCTAACACTCCCTCTCTGCTTTCCCTCAGCCTCAACATGGAATTACTCTGTTCTTGCGCTGTCCCTCGCGACCATGATTTTGGGTCTCGTTCTTCTGACCATTAACATTGTGCGAAACAGGTGAGACAGGAAAATTTGAGAATCTTTTGGTCTGTGGTGGTGCCCTGAAAGCCTCCCAGGCAAACAGCCACAGGGGTTTGGCAGGGCAGGACAAGCCCTGAGTGATGGGGAGAAGAGCAAATTCCTTTTGAACCATTTGCTCGCCTTGTGTCACTTGGAACAAGCCCCTTCTCTGGGCCCTGGATGGAATAAAGGTCTGCACGGCTCTGCCCAGCCCAACAGGGCTGCTGGGAGGGAAGTGGTGGTAACTGTGGTGTGAGGTGCTCTCCCTCTAAGTACAGGGCCTCTGGGGCAGGACTCCCAGCCTTTCCCCATCCACATCCCCACAGAGTTCCCCGGTGGCTGCACAACCCCGCAGCTGAGGAGCAAGTCACTGTTTGCTAGGGCACGAAAACGTAGCACTGAGTCAGACGAGAGAAGCGCTAAGGCTGCGAGCCTGCCTCGCTCTCCCTCTAGTGACGGCTGGCTGCGTGCTGCTCCTGGCGTCAGGAGCTGGGCGCTCCAAGTGTGAATCGCACAGCCGTGTGTGCTCAAACACTTCAGAGCACTTACCTGGCACAGCTCACCTGGCGGCGTTCGCCCACACGCAGCTGGCGTGTTCCAGGAACACGGTGTAAATTGATGGCTGTGACCCTCAGCGGGGTTGGTGCCCTCAGATGTGGGCTGGGCTTGCTGCTTCACTTCATGTGTCCTTGTTGTGCCTTCCCTGCAGGAAAAGGAAAATCCTCGTGAACGGAGAAACAGCTCAGCCCACACAGGAGGCTGACCTCGATGCTAAGCAAGCCCTGATGCCTGTGCAGGAATACAACCTGGCTGAGCCACTAAAGCAGCAGCCAGGGCCCCAGAGACCAGGGGACGTGATGGTCCAGTGGAAAGATGGGACTGTCACATCCCTGTACACAGAGACGTCTGAGGAGGCCATATAGTGGCAGCTGGAGTCAGCCCATTTAGGCCTTAAGGAAGGTATCAGAATGTCTCAGTTCACAGGGGTGCCAGTTTAAAAATGCAGTTTAACCTGGAGAAAGAAAAGCGTGAAACAAGAAAGCAGCAGAGTTGCACCTGCAGGAGAGGCCCTGGGCTCATCTCCTGTCTGGCTGGTGTTCCCCCACTGCTCTGGCTGCTTCCAGCCTTCCCTCCAGTGCCAGCTTCCTCTCCTCCCTCAGGTGCTGCAAACAGGTTTGACCTGAGCCAAGGAAGTAAGTGGGAAGCTTGGCCTGCAGTCAGCCAGGGAAAGCAGCCTCACTTCCCATCAGGAAAACAGCAACACTGAAGCTGAGACATTTTTATTCTTTTCAGAGTCCTCTTTATTAAAATACTTTCCAAAGTGGTTGATCAAAATGCCATATTGAATCTGTCAGTAAGGTCATATATATATATTTATATGGCTATATGTACAAATATACACATGGATATTTTACTCTGCAAAGTAACTGCAACTCCAGGGAGAAGCAGAACATTTAATCTGATAGAGCACCTGAAACCAAACATCCAGCCCTTGACCCTGGCTCAGGCACAGGTAGAGCCTGGTCTGCTCCAGGATTCCCTTTGTGTCCTTCACTGGGCATGCGTAGAAACCATGAAATAATTTAGGACATTACTGGAAATACATCAGTCTTTTAAACACAGACTTCGCAGACCATGTCCTTGTCAGCAAAGCATCTCTTTGCAAAGCCTTTGGAAAGGGATGCTATAGTGTAAAAAGCTGAGCAAAAAAGCAGCAATTTTGGTGTGACTTAGCTTGATGTGTGGATATAGGTTACAGGCCACCTGAGGCCTTTAAGCAGCTGAAACATTATCTGCACCTTTTTTATCTGGATTTTAAAAAAAAATAAAATTTCCTCCTACTTATTGCTTAGTCGGGGACCTGTGGGATGAATGAGATGGGTGCCTCCATGCTGGATTAATGATTAGTTCCTCATTCCTGGGCTTCGGTAGTTGTGGGCCAGGTGCCCAAGCTGGCTGGTGGCCGTGGAGTTGTCCCTTCCCCTCCCAATGGTATCCAACAGCTCTGGCTCCTCTGGAAGCTGCTGCATCCTCACAGAAAACTGGGCTGGCTGCAGTGGCAGTAGCAGGACAGGGTACAAACAGCGGGCAGGGGCAGGCAGAGCGATGCCACAGCCCATGTCAGACCCCGGCACTTTGCCTGCTCGCCAAGTTGCCACTGCTGGCTTTGCCTTGGCACAGAGACCGGGGCTGCCGTGTGCCAGCGGCTGCTGCAGTGCCCATGAGTCCATCATGGAAGGTCCCAGCTCCTGTGGAGCTGGGGGGATGGATGAGGGTCTCTCTCCTCCCTCTCTGCAGCCCACAGGGACGTGTCCTAAAATATCTTGAAGCCTTTCAGCAAGGTGAGCGTGGGAGCCTTCCTTTTGCTCTGAGCCCGCGAGGACTTGACGGTGACCAGCTTGGCCTGGGCCACCGAGGGCATCTCCTTGTAGTTGACGGGGGCGAGGGTGTTGAAGGTGCAGGTGGCCAAGCTGTGGTGGGTGGGCAGGGCCACGGGCGTGGCCACGGGCGGGCAGGGCCGCTCCTCGGAGATGAAGAGCGGCCGCACGGGGAGGCTCCACTCCGCCTGGCGCCGCACCTCCCGCACGGCCTCGTGGAACACGTGCTGCACCCGAGCGAAGTCCTGGCATGCCGACACCTCATGGAAGAGGCACCCGAACCTGCTGGCGAGGGACATCCCTTCTGCTGAGAGCACCTGCCTGGCGAGAGCAGAGGGGATGGGTGCAGGATCCCTTGGGGCACGGCAGCCACCCGAAAAAGGTGCAGGTAACAGATCCTGCATCCCACACCTCCTTCCCAGAGAGCACCAAGGTAGCACCTGCCCATCCCTGCCCTGGGACATGAATCCAAAAGAGTTCTGCTTTTCCCAAAATCCCAGAATAATGGTCTCTTTGTGTCCCTGGGGAATCACACAGCTTCTCCTGGTAGGGATGTGTTCCAGCAATCCAGGGGTGGGTGTGATGACAGTGCACTGGGAAGCAGGGAGGAGGAGATGGGGCAGGTCCTTGCTGTGGGGAGGGGGATACCTCCATCCTGGGAGCACGAGGGCTTCAGCAATGCATGTGACTCAGGGGCCCGTGGGACCACAGAGCAGCACAAAAGGCCAGAAAAACATATTGGGCACATCCAGTCCTGGCAGTGGGGCTGGAACTAGAGGGCTCCAGGGAAAGGAAGGGCATGTCCAGAGGGGCTTCTCTGGCTCAAGCCCTGCCAGGGATGTGACGCTGCCTCGCCACTCAGCCAAAAAACATCCTACTGAAAATACCAACGGGCTCAAAATAAACACATCAGCCCTGGGGCAGGAAATTCAGGGATGTGGGAGGATGTTCAAATGCTAATGGGGGTGGAAATACCCGTGAAGAAATCAGATTTGGGTCGGGCACGCCAGCAGGAGGGATGGGGATGTGTGAGCTCTCTCCCACGGGGAGCAGGCAGCCTTACCGCGTGCCCGGTACCTGTACTGCTCCATGTCCAGCTTGTTTCCCAGCAGGAGCACGGGGCAGCGGCGCTGGCAGCCCTGCGCGTGCAGGGCGAGCACCTCGAGGTAGCGCTGGCAGCCCTCGAAGCTCTTCCTGCTGTCGATGCTGTAGACAACCAGGAAGGCGCTGGCCCAGCACAGGTAGCGCTCGCAGTTCCCGGGGCCATCCTGGCGTGGGAGCAGTGGCTGAGCCCCAGTCCAGTCGTGGTCCAGCCATGGTCCAGCTGGTCAGCACACCCCCAGTGCCTTACCTGGTCAGCAGTGTCCATCACCTTCAAGAGCACAGGCTGCTGGTCCACCAGCTCCTCCGAGGAGTAGGTGTCCTCTGCAAGAAGAAGGGTGGTTGTGAGGATGGGCTGGCACATCCTGTCTTCTTCAAAGCCAAGCAAAACTCAGGATGCTTCGGATACCATGGAAAAATTTCAGCCCTGATGAGGAGCATCCTCCACCAAGTCCTCCCACCTTACTCCTTCCTGAGACAACATTATTTTGGGGGGTTGGTGGTGATGTTGCTGGGCAAGCCTGGCTAGGAGCAGTTATTTCTCCCCATGTGCTGCAAGCGTGGGCTCCCACAGGAGAAGGAGGGAGGGGAAGGAGCTTGGCACAACAATCGCTGCACCCAGGGCTCGGCCCTTATCTAAAAGCCATGGCCTGATGAGATAAAGCAAGCTGGGGGCTTGACATGGGACTGTTTCCCAATAAATCAAGCGAGAGGAATAGTCCTTTCTTATGGAAGGAGGGCAGGCAGGGAGAGCCGTTGAGCCATTCCCCCAGGAGAAAGATGCTTTCTTTGGGCCAGCTTTTAACCGATGCGTTTCGGAAAGGTTTTGACGTGGGAAGATAAAACCACATTCCCAAAAATATCTGAGGAAGAAAGGATTTATCCTTCTTTCTAAGAGTCACTGAATTATTAGCGGCTGGAGTTGGTTCTTGGACAATGTCCATATCTCCTTAATGTCCCTGATAAATCACTTATGGTTCTTCCCCACAGCCTGGAGTCAGGCCTAGGAAAATAGTTATTAATTACTCAAATGAATGGAAAAAAAAATACCCAGAACTGCTCACTGCAAAACTCAGCCCCAGGGTTGCCTGCTGTGCACCCGTCCTCATTTCCTCAGCCTTTTCCCTGCCCAACAGACATGAGATGCTCCTCAAAGAGCCTCAAGAATTCAGCTTTTGGTTTTTTGGGGGCAATGCAAGGAGCCAACGTTCCCATGGGAAGTCCCCCCAGAGAGGGCACTGCTTTCACCTCTGTTTTCACAGATGGTTTTGGGTTAAATCCAGCCCTTGTTTTCTGTATAATTTTGGGTGGGTTGTTTTCTTCTTTCCCCTTAAATTCATGGGAAACGTGGGAGATGGGAAGGATGCTCCATGGGATAAGAATGTGCCTTACCCAAGTTGGGATCATATTCACTGATGAACCTCTTGGTTAGAAACTTCACGGTCAGAGCTGCAGGAGGTGAAAGAGGCAGGTGAGGCAGGTGTCCCCTGGCAGTGCGCTCCCCGATGCCCTGCCCTGCCCGTCTCACCTGACTTGCCGGCCCCTCTGCACCCCAGGATGGCCACGTTGCACTCGGGGAGGGCGCTCTGGGGCGGCCGCTCGCTGCTGGCTCGGGGTTTGCCGAACATCGAGGACATCCTCGGTCCTGCGGGACAGAGCGGGGGGACATGGAGCACCCGCTGCCCCGTCGGATGGGCACCTTCTCACTGCCTGGCTCGTGGGTGCCCCAGCCTGGGGGAGAGAAGGGTGGGAGATCCCCTCTCCTCCATCCGCATCCCGAGGCTGGCTGGCATCCTCATCCCACAGTGGCGGCCAGCACCCCACCGAAAGAGAAGGACCCCCCAGCCCTCTGGCCACCCATCACACCTCAGAAAGAGAAGAGAAACGCAGCCTCCCACCTTAAAACCCAGGCCCGGAGGGGACGCGGGGCTCTCCGTGAGCGCGGGGCCGGGGCAGCAGCTGCCCCTGCACGGCCGGGGCTGCGATGAATGAGGCAGGCGGAGGCGAGCGCGGCTCCCGCTGCTCGGGCTCCAGCCAAACTCCTTGTAAGGAAAGCTGCCACGCCGCGGGGCCGGACACGCTGCCCCGGCCACCCGAGGACGGTCCCCGCGGCAGAGCACACGCGGCACCCCGAGCTGCCCCGGCTTCGGGCAGGGACCCCCGGTCCCAGACCTGCCGTGCCTCGGCTTGGCGGCCACCTGGCCGTGTCAGGCACCTTCCTGAGCGCGCAGCTCCTCGCCGTGTCCCGGCAAGCCCAAGCCTGGTCCCTCTGCCCCGGCTGAGGCCGGCGCACTCATCCCAGCTCCGGCAGGCAGGAGCAGACCCGGAGCTGCCGGTGCAGCCGCTGCCCGGCTCCTTCGGACACAACCAAGCCCTGACACCTTCCGCTGCCGGCAGAGGCTTTCCAGGGAGAGAAATTCCCTTCTGCCACCCAAAAGCCTCGGTGCCAAGAGGAAGAGGGAGCCCGGGGAGTACTCACCAGTGCCCGTACCAATCCATCAGCCGGCACCCAGCGGCTCTGAGCCCGAGTAGGTGGCGGAGGCTGAAGTCAGCGTTGTCATGGCGATCACAGCCATTTGGGATAGGGCTCGATGCCCGGGACCACAGGATGCGGCCCCAGGGCCGGCCCCGAGGGACTGCGGGGGGGCCGAGGCTGCTCCGCGGCCATGCGGGGCTGCTGCGCCCTTGGGAATATTGCCCGGTAATACAGGCAGGGTATTTTTTAGCCCTCCCAAAATAGTCTGGGAGTGTGGAAGCCCCTGCAAGCCCCAGGGATGGGGAGGATGGGGATCACAGGGATAACTCCCCTGCAGGAAGCAGAGCTCCTCTGAGGAGCCTTTACCACAGACCCCCTTTGGTCACAGAGTGCCTAAAAGCAATTTGAACTAAACATGGTATTTTAAGCTGGGTATCTATGAGGATCAATGACAGTGGTGTAAGTGCAAAATTCTTCTGTTCTTCCCTAAACTTGGATTTTTGGGGTAACCTGCTGTGGCCATGATCCTGAGGCAACAGCTTTGCCATCATGCACTGCCTGGAAAGTTCCCAGCTGCTGGGATGAAGGGGTTAAGGAGGGAGCAGAAAATAGACCTTCAACAGGATGAGCTGCTCAGGTTAAATTATTCATCAAAACAAAACACCAGCTGCAAACTAATCACAGGTAGTGATGGGGAGATCCAGGAAGGAGCCCCCAAGTGAGCCCTCTTGTCAGCCTTCCTTGGCACCCCATGGCAGAGCTGAAATGGGATTTCTAGCCAGAAAAATCTGTGATTAGCACACTAACAAGTGATGTGCCACAAATAACACTTTTCCTCACTGCCAAGCTCTGTGTCAGTAAACAGGGGTTTATCTCTTCCCACAGCCAGGTATTAGGGGGAGCTGGGCAAGCCCTGAGGCCAGAGGGGAGGTTTGTGGTGAGAAGAGGTTGCTGCACTTCCTTTTTCTCACCTTGAGATCCCCAGGTGAAGCACAGGCTGGCTTATGGCTCCTTACAGCTGGGATGGGTGTTGCAGATGCTGCTGCCATAGAAAGGGTCACAAAAGGTCTCTCTCTGCCCATGGTAACACTTGAGGAACAGCCAAGCTCCCTTCCCATGGCTGAGCTGGGTGGCAGTGAAATTTGCTGATGTTGTTTACCTCCCTGGGCTGTAAACTCCACATTTTAAAGAGAAAAAAAAAATAGTGTGGCCAGATCTTCTTCCCAGCCAAGCAAGTGTGTTGCCCTCCCCAGGCTGGGGACTGTTCCGTAGGGCATCATAAGAAGGATGCTTGAGAGTGGAGAAAGCAACACCTGGTTTCTCCTGAGTGGCTGGGCATATTCCATGAGATGATCCTGGCACCTCTGCCGTGCCCAGTGCTGGCTGGTGACACTGGAACCCTGCCTGAGCTTGGGGGGGCAGCTGAGCCTGGTGGATGCCTTTGCAGGGCCCTGGTCACGAGCTCAGCTATCTTTAGCCCAAGGTATTTATATTACAAGGCCACCGGGCAGCTCAGCAAAGGCATCAAAGGCTGGAGAAGGCCGAGGGGGCTGTGCAGGGGTACGGCACAGAGGGACATCGGGTGCTCCCCCAGCCCTGAGAGCTGCTGAGGTCCCAGGCGAGGATGACCCCAGAGGAGGAAGGTTCCCAGGCAGGGCCCCCGGAGCGGGTGCGTATCCGGGTGGAGGAGCAGTCGTTCTCGGTGGAGAAGGCCTTGCTGGTGGAGAGCAGTGAGTACTTCCGTGCCCTCTTCCGCTCGGGCATGAGGGAGAGCACGCAGGAGGAGATCGGCCTGGGGGAGCTGAGTGCAGCTGGGTTCCTCGCCATGCTGCAGGTGCTGGCGGGCGAGAGGCCCATCCTTGGCAGCGAGGAGACCTTCCAGGCAGTGGAATGTGCTGCCTTCCTGCAGGTGAAGCCCTTGGCCAAGTACTTGATCCACTCCATCAACTCTGACAACTGCATCCTGCTGTACCAAGCCGCTGCCATATTCGGCCTCCTGGATCTCTTCCACTGTGCCGCACTCTACATCAGGGACAGCTACGCTGAGCTGGAGGAGTACCTGGACTGCCTCCCCGATGACCTGCTGGCCTATGTGGAAGCCCTCCTCCCCAGCACCTTTGTGGCAGTGGGAGCCCATACACCCACCTTCGAGTTCTTGGAGGACCTCTCCAGGACCATCTGCTACCTGGACGAGGAGACCAACACATGGCGGACCCTCTCCTGCCTTCCGCTGAGCGCCAGCACATTCCTAGCCGGCATGGCAACCATGGATAACAAGATCTACATTGTGGGCGGCGTCTACGGGGCCAACAAGCAGGTGGTGGAGAGCAGCTTCTGCTACGATGCTGATGCCAACGCCTGGAGCGAGTTCCCCAGCCCTCACCAGCTGCGCTACGACGTCAGGCTGGTGGGCCACGAGGGCTACCTCTATGCCATTGGTGGTGAGTACGAGAAGATCTCGCTCAAGTCCGTGGAGAGGTACGACCTGGCCTCCAGCACCTGGACCTTCGTCTCTGACCTGCCGCAACCGAGCACGGCAGCGCCCTGTGCCCAAGCCTTGGGGCAGATCTTCGTTTGCTTGTGGCAGCCACTGGACACCACTGTCATCTATGAGTACGAGACCCAGCAAGACGCGTGGCTTCCCGTCACCGAGCTCAAGCGGCACCAGAGCTACGGGCACTGCATGGTGGCCCATCGTGACAACCTCTACGTCATGCGCAACGGCCCCTACGATGACTTCTTGCGCTGCGTCATCGACTGCTTCAACCTGACGTCCCGGCAGTGGAGTGCCCTGCCCGGGCAGTTCATGAACAGCAAGGGAGCTCTCTTCACCGCCATCGTCAGGGGTGACACCATCTACACTGTCAACAAGATGCTGACACTCCTCTACTCCGTGGAAGAGGAGACCTGGAAGCAGAAGAAGGAGCGTGCAGGTTTCCCACGCAGCGGCTCCCTGCAGACCTTCCTCCTGCGGCTGCCAAGACGTGACCACGACATCGCGACGTAGCTGCTCCCCCGTCCCACGTCAGGATGCTCTCCTTGCACATGGCCTCAGCTCTGCACTCACTGCTCCCCTGGGCTCCTACTCTTCCACAGAGCTGTGCTCAGGCCCAGGGATGCATCATGTTGGACCTTGGAGGTGACATTAAACCCTGCCAGAGGGAAAGGGCAGCTGCTGTCCCCTCTTCCTGCCCTGCACAGGCACAAAGCCCTGTCAGCCATAAGCTCACAAGCCAGCTGTGTGCAAGACATTGTGGCTTCTGCAGAGGACAGATTCCATAGAGATGCAAACATGGAATTTATTTATTCTGACTACACTCTGAGGGTGTGCAGCATTCCACCTCCTTTCTGCCTTGATGGGAAATCATTCATTACATGCTGGAATTAAAAGGAAAGCTATAGAAAAGCTTCTCATTACTGTGTTTTTCATTTACTCTTGAGTTTGGGGTTTTTCCTCCTGTGCTTCTGAAGGAAAATACCTCCTAACAGGGATCTGTGTCAGGACTCGCTTCTGCCCCTGAATGCTTTTTCAGCTGTGGCTCAGTTTCAGAGCCTTACGTGGGAGTGCAGTTCCCACAGAGCCCCACACTCCCCTGGGAATTCTCTGTGGCTGCAGCGGGGTCCTGGTAGGAGGAGGGGAGATGGGAGTGAAGGAAAGCAGGTCCTGGGCATCAGGTGCTTAATGTGCCAAGGGTTTTCTGGGACCTGGGAACCCTCAATCACCCCCCTCAGGCCCCAGCACAGACCCAATGGGGTGGCAAGTGCTGGCTCTCACCAGAACTTTCTTGAGCCAAGTCAGGGTCTTTTGAGGACATGGCAAAGCTTGGAAGTACAGAGTGCCAAAAGGGAATGAGGGCTAGGGAGCCATTACATGGCGATAACAGGCTTGCAGAGCTCCATAGCTTCCCATCAGATCCCACCACCTGGTGCTGAGGGCTCACAGCCCTCAACACCAGCTCTGGGGACAGCTGGTAGCACAGAGCTCCCCTTTGTGACCACAGATCAGGGCAGCAGCAAACCCAGACCCCAGCTCAGCTGGTTTCCCATCCATGGGGCAGGCTTTGGGCTGCCTGTGCTGTCCAGGCTGGGAGGGAACGGAAGGGATACCAGCTGGGATGCCTCAAATAACTCCGCTGCTGATCCCGCCAAGTTCTCAGCATTTTCAAAACAGTTCCCGCATTTGAGAATAAACCCACTCAATGCAACTGCAAACCAAAACAAACCAGAAAACCCCAGCCTGCACCCACAGCCAGATGGAAAACCACTGGATGTGCCTTGTCCCCATTTGCTCTCTGCCACTGGGCCAGGCCACCACCCCGATGTCACCCATGAGGGGACTGCTGCTGCTGGAGCTGCAGGCCTGGCGCGGACACAGGGGAGGCAGGGGACACCAACAGACCTGTCCCTGTCCCTGTCCCCTGCACTGTGGGCACTGGGAGCTGAGCAGCATTGCAGTCCCCAGGTGGAATGTTACAGCAACTTATCAAATAATTTTCCCCTTCCCAGACAAAGCCAATTAACATTTCACAGAATTCTGTGAATTAACATTTCACGTTGTCTTCTCCTGGGAGCAGCACATGGAAACATGTTGCTTTAAAACAATTTTAAGCTGAACAAACAGCTTAAACATCCATTAAAATGAAGTTAAAATAATTCTGTTACTAAAATATTTATGTTGGGCTCCTGTGGCCAACCTTAGACCACAGAACTTGGCAGGCTCACCCATTCCTTCCAGCTCTGACACCAAGTGATACAACCTCCTCCCCACTTCCACATGCTGCTCCACAGTTCAGGGCTTTACAAAGATATTTGTCAACAAATGCAAAAGGTTTTAAGATTTTAAGTGTAGCACTTGAGTGAAAGTGTGAGTCTTGGCAGGCAGTTGAATATGGCATGGATGCTCCCAAGAGCCATTTGTTGCATCCATCAGTCCAGACTGTGATCCAGAAAGTAACACAAGATAATTTTAGGTGCAAAGGAAGGAAAAAAGATACATTTCTTACCTCTGCAAGAAACGATCCAATATCCAGGACCAAGCAAACCACTAAGGAGGGCGAGAAGCTGCTCAGCCTTTGCACAGTGAGTTGGCACAATGCTGCCAGTGTGCTTTGCTCCACCAGAATTCAGCACCACTGGCACCAGCACAGCACCCTTATCTTCCCCTTTCCATCCACACGGTGCTCGCTCCGCCAAAGATCACAGTTGGAGGGACACAATCTGCCTAATCACAGCTTAACCTTCTGCAAGTCTCGTTTTTAAGGTGACATCATCTTGGCAAGGGGGAATGTAAGGAAAAGCTGTCTGTAGATGGACTTGCCTTATATGGGCCGTATCAAAAATAAAAGCTTGTATAACCAAGGGAAAGCAGGAGGAAAAACAGAGCTGGGAGTTCCAAAAAGAGCCTGTGAGCTCCCCAGGAATATCTCCCTAGGACATACAGGGTGCCACATTTTCCATTTCAATGCCATTAAAGAAGAGCAGGAATAAAGCATCCTTGGGGATGGATGGGTCAACTCCCCCAACACTTGGATGTCAAGTTTCCCTGTTGCACCCAGGCAAGAATCAATGCAGCCATGGAGAGCTGTACCTTCCTGTTGTTATCTGGCACCCACCTGGAGATCCAGGAAGAAGGGACATAGTGTTTTACCTTGATGGCAGCACATTGTGCTGGGAGATTGTTTGGAAGGGTACAATGGAAAATGGTACGAATGCAAGTAAGGATTTTCTCTGCTGGGTTGTGCCAGCTGGCATCCTGACAGAAAAAGACAAACATGTTGCAGAAGAACCCCCCAAGCATCTTTACTCAAAGAAATTACATCTGTTTCTAATTCACAGGAAAATAACATACTTTATGTGAAAACACGGTCCACTGTTCCACTGCCAAGCCAAGACACACATCCTGTACAGTGATCTGAATCTCCCATTCTCTGTCCTTCAGTTACATACAGAAATTCCCTTGGGCATACAGATGTTCCTGATGCTGATATTCATGCTTCACTTCATTTGGAATCACTGTCTTCACAGTTCAGGGACGCATCCCCTGAATTTTCCTGATTTGGGCAGAGCATGGGAGCAGTGAGCAGTTCCCCATCTCCCTGTTCTGATCTCATGAAGTTTCCTGAGGACAAACCTTTGCCTCCACCATTTTTCATTGCACTGGATAAACCTCATGTATTTCAGAGCAAGGGCAGCTTGTTTTCTTTCTTTATCCATATGGAACTGTGTATTTTCCTCACATGTCTGGTTTAAAAGGAGAAGCTAATGCGATCAAAGTGGATTTCAATTGACTAAGTCAGCTGAGACTCTTCCCAAGCCAGGACCAACACATGTTCCTGCAGGAGCCTTCAGATTTTAGGAAAACAATTTATTCTGTTGATTTATATAATCTTTTAAGAATCCCCACTTGGTTGTAGCTGAAAACCTACACCCATCACCCCAGGTGGAGGGAGAACACTGGTTTGGTTTGGTTTTTGCAAAAATCTAAGCCAAAGGCAATTTGGATCTTCTCTAATCTGAATAGCTGAGATGATCAAGGGTGGGGATGTGTGGGTGAGGAGATAAACATTCCTGCTATGCAGTCAGTGCCTGCATGACAAACACTCTTATGATCGATGTCCATAAAATGAGACTCCAAGGCAGAGCTTTGAAGTTGTGTGTCTGGTGCTTCCAGGGGTGGGGATGGAGCAGCACAATCACCTGAGTCCTTCTGGTCTGCTGTGGAGAGGGGAAGCTGTGACTGCTCCAGGATGCTGCTCAGTGAGTTTTCATCACAAGCTCTTCCAGCGCCCTCTCCCTCTGATTCCCACAAAGCAAAAGAACTTCTTTGATTTCATTTTGCTGGAAGCCCATATCATTAAACTGAGCCAACAGATGCAAGAATTCAGCTGCCTGGAGGAAGAAGGAGGAGAGAAGAATGATGCTATCATGGATGGATATATAGTGTAGCTGCAGAAAAAGCAGTGCTGTGGGACAAGGCTGCACTCAGAAGATCTGAGTTGTATCACTGTGACAGCAGATTGAGGGCACACATATCCCTGGTAGCATTGAAGTTTCTTAAATAGGAAATATTTAATAAAGTCAGCCTCTAGCTTCACTATTCCTTATAATGTTTGTATCAGTTCTATGCAGTGTTTGCCTGCACTATGAAGAGAGCAGGGAATGTCAGTGAGCACAACTGGAATTCATTTGTCCTCCTCCCCTACTTTGCTCACGCTGGGCCCCAGCACCACAACATCACCCAGAGCTGTGTCCTTAATAAATAAACCCATCCCTGACACTCAGACCCAGGTGCCCTCCCACTGCCACTGCCCTAAGGAGTGGTGACACGGCAATCCTACAGGCATCAGCATCCTGGCAAACACTGCCAGCCTGGATTTCATGCAGTTCTGCCTTCCCAGGCTCTCCATTACCCCCAGAGGGAGACTGATGATGGAGACAAATGCCCAGTTCTCCATGGTTCTCCTCCCTGGGGCTAGAAAGGAGAGCTGGCAGGGCTTGAGACAGAGTAAGTGCTGGTGGGCTCGGGACAGGGTTCCCAAGCAAAGGCTGAGTGAGCATCATTCCACACAATAGGGTGAGAAGAAGGGCAGAGAACAGTGAAGGAGCAGGTGTCCTCCCCCAGGGGTTCTTATGGTGACACTGCCCTAGAGGTCTGGCCCTCCATGAGGCTGCAGGAGGGCCTGTGGAGGCAGAGGGAAGTGTGCAGCCCACTGAAAAGGAGAGCCTGGAGGACACAGCACAAAGGGCTGGGCTGTGCCATCCCATTCTGACCTTCTTCTCCGAGTACTGGAACATTTCCATGGCTTCCTCCACCTGCCCTTCCTCATAGCCCTGCTTCAGCAGCCGATCACAGGCACCCAGGTAGCTCAGGAACTGCAGAGGAAGACAGACAGGTTAATCCAACCCTGCAGGCATGGGGAGCAAGGCCAGTCAGGAGCCCCCCTGCCACCTCCCAGGGACACACCATGGGGGCACATCAGCCACCACCATCTTGCCAGTTCCCATCTAATGCTCAGCCAGGGTGGTCTCTCTGTCTGCAGGATTTCCAGTGGGAGACAACATCTTGGTCCCCCTTCACCCTCCCAGGGTGGGAATGGGAACAAGGACGAAACCAAACATGTGAACACTCGAGATGGAGAGCAATGGCCTCCAGGGTGAGGCAGGGCCTGTCCCGGTGGGATGACTTTGCTCAGCTGACCCCGCATCCCTTTGATGTGCGGGGGTTCAGGCACATCTCTGCTGGGTTTATGTTTCAATAAATGGGTTTGCTCCAGGGTCCAAGAGCAGAGCCCACCCAGGGGAAACCTGTGTGCTATCATTACTGAAAGTAAACAGTTATTTTTGGCTTTCCTCGTTGTTCTTGGAGTGCTGACAGCACAATTCCCAGCAGCATCTTTTAAATACCGCGAGAATCACTCGCTGTCCAAAAACATATGGGACAGGCAATAATAAATGAGCTATACAATAGCAGGGGGAATAAAAACATCCCACAGGTCTCTCCAAAGAGTTTCCATTCAAGGAGAAGCTGATTCATTTCTCCCCAGATTCACCAGCACACAGACCTCCACCTTTCCCAGCA